AAGATTTGATTTGATTTTTCTAAAAGTAGAAGCATTTTATTAGATGGGCACATGTATCTCTTTATTCTTTGTCTCCTAACATATATGTTTATTAGAGATAAATTCCTTAGTAAAAATTTTACATGACAGTTTCTCTGCCGCCTGGTACAGTTCTCTTCTTCGCAGGTTGCTTATTTGGATCTGGTGTCCGATGGCTTTCTCAGCACCGGCGCCACCGGCGCCAGAGAGAGTATATATGGGGTCTCTTGTTTTCATTTCGTCAGTATTAGTTTCTAGTTTCAATCAAAGTCTTTTCTAGTGGGTAGGGGTTCAGATCTTTGGCTTTGGTTCAGGGGTGTGTCTGAAGATTAGGGTTTCGTTGAGGCCTTGGTTGGTGGAGTTGGCTCTTAGTCACCGTTGTGTGGCCTTCGGCTCAGCCGGTCTCGCATCTTCTCAGATCTGGTTTTCTCGGCATCATAGTTTCCCTATCGTCGTCAGCCTTGAAGCGGTGTCGTTCTCAAAGTTCGTCGGCGGAGGATGGCGGCCATTAGGGTTGGTTCCGGAGTGCTCGAGATCTGGTCTTTTTTTTTTCCCTCTGGTCGTGGTCTGGTGAAGATATTTTGCCTTTTGTGGGCTGCAGTTCTATAGTATGGTCTAGTGGCCCATCTGTTTGGGTCTGATCCTTTATGTTTCGCCAATTTGTTTCTGCCTTTTGTCTTTGGTTCTCTCGTCTATTCCCTGATTATGATTATGTGTCTTTCGGGGTCCGAATTTGGCACGGTCCGGTTAGATTGGTTCGCTTTTTGTCTCTACGGTAAAGATCTAATCGGGATCTTGGTCTGCTCAAAAGATTCTACCTAGGCGTCATCAAGCGTGAAGATCAAGTTTTTTCTGGTTTCCTCTATCGTGCTGCTTTAGTATGTTAGGAGCTCTTATTTGGATTAGGTAGACTATTCGTTATAGAAGGAACAACTTATCGTTTGTTTTCGATTAGCTTTCACGTTGGGTTCATGTTTGGTATAGGTAGTACCTCCGGCGAGGTTTATTTCTAATTAGACTCAATATTTTGGTGTGGTTCTCTTGGTTTATTTCTCGGGACTGTGATCCCATTAGATTTTACTTTGTTTGTATTTTGGTAAAATCCTGTCTCCCTTTTGGAGGGCTTAGACTTTGAGGATTTGGTAGTTTTCGGCTTAGGCTCCGAGGCTTTTTTTGTTTGCCATCGGCTTTTGTAGCTCTCTTATGGATTTTTATCCGATCATTATATTATAACATGAGATGACAAAAAAAAATATACATGACATGCAAACCCTGAAGTCACGATTATTTTTTTGTCGTCAACCATTATATTGATTAATAGGCCATCGGCCCATTACAATAAGAGATTAAGGCATTACAACCTAGTTTAGAAAATCATTCGTTAAAATTCATAAGAGATAACAAACCCATATGAAAACTACATATCATACTTGATATTAGTATATTAGTATTATTTTTTACTAGGACTCAAAACCCTCGCGAAAATCGCAGGGTAAAGAACATTCAACTACAATTAAAAAAGATTTTGCTAATATATCCAAAAATAAAATTTATTTCTACGAAACATATGTGAACATAAACTCATAATCATCTTTAAAGGATTTTAAAACATTGTTTATTATCAACTCTCAAGTCGAGTTAACCCAAATCGGACATAGGAAGACTATGTAATAAGGAAATTAAACATATATATAAAATCATATAGAAACTGAACAATATAAATTATTAATATAATTTAAAAAATAACATAAAAGACCTTGAAGTAGAAGTAAACAAACAAAAAAGACGCAACCCTATGCGTTATAACCACAAAACTTATTTTTTGAAAAAGAAGCAACCCTATGATACATTAATAAAAAAAATAGTATTTATTTTTTATAACGCAACTCTATGATGCATCAGTAACCACAAAATAATTTTTTTTAAATGCAACTTTGTGACGTATTTGCTAGGATTGCCATTTGAAAAAAATTATTATTGATAATGTATACAAATGTGGATACAAATCATGGTAATGTAAGTAAGAAGAAGGTACAAAAAAAAAACCTAACTGAAGTCTAAAGAACCATAATTTTTTCTAAAAAGATCCAACCTATACATTTTCACATAATTATAGACACACCCTAGGATGCATTGTTAACCAGTAAACGGTTTTTTTAGAAGACAAAACCTATAATCATTAATAACCATAAAACAAGTTTTTCCGAGAAGACGCAATAATATGATGCATTAAAATGGTTTTTTTTAAAGACACAATCCTAAGATGGTTTAATAATCATAAAACTGTTTTTCCAAAAGATGCAATTGTAGGATTCATTAACAACTATAAAACAGATTTTAAGATGCAACCAAAAGACGCGACACTTAGTTGCTTTAATAACCATAAAAATATATTTTCAAAAAGACGCAACCATATGATGAATAAATAACCATAAAATAGATTTAATCGAAAATACAATTTTTATATGCTTTAATAACTATAAAACAATTTATTTGAAAAAAAAAATAACCCTCTCATGTATTAATAATCATCAAACATATTTTTTTCCAAAAAAATGCAATCCTTAGATGTTTTAATAACCATAAAATAGATTTTTCGAAAAGGGGCAATTGTATGAAGCATTAATCACCATAAACCGTGCTTTTTGAAAAGACGCAATCCTAAGATGTTTTTATAATCATAAAACGGTTTATTGAAAATATGCGATCATAGGATTTATTAATAACAATAAAACGGATTTCTCAAAAATACGCAAACCTGTAAAGTTTTAATAACCATAAAACCGGTTTTTCAAAAATACACGTACTATAAAATGAATTTTTCGAAAATATGAAAGCCTTAGTTGCTTTAATAATCATAAAACGGTCTTTTTAAAAACAAATGCAACCCAATGATGCATTAATAATCATAAAATTAATTTTCGAAAAAACGTAGCATTTAAATATTTTAATAACCATAAAACGGGTTTTTATAAAAAAAAAATGACCCTATGATGCATTAATTAAAACATCATAGAATTTAAAATTTAGCCATAAATTCTGATTTGATAAAGAATTCCAACAATTGTTACACAAATCAATAATTTTAGGAATTTTTATAATGATAAAAAATTCAATACTTTTGAATCATTTTAAAATAATAAAATGTCGTTATTATTATTGTTATGCTTTAAGTGAATTTTAAAATTAGTAGTCATATAAAAATACACAAAATATTCAACAAAAAAATATATAGAGTTAAAAACACAAATATATAGAACAAACGGTTTTTTCGAAAAGACGCAATAATTTATGCATTGTCTAAAGAGATCCAAAACTCTTTACACAAATCAAGAATTTTAGAAACTTCATCAATAGTAAAAAGATCAATACTTTAAAATAATTTAAAAATAATAGATTGACGTTTTTTTATCTATCTTACGCTTTAAGTGAATTATAGAACCAATAGCCATAATTAACAAAATGATCACCGAGAGAAAAAACTAAAACATATATATATATATAGGCTAAACGATTTTTCTAAAAAGATGCAACTCTTAACGATAACTATAAAGCGGTTACTTCGAAAAATAACTACTTAACGGATTTTTTTACGAAAAATCACAACCCAAAAATATTCATTTTTGAAAATACGCAACTCTTAAAGAAAATCAAAAAGCGGTTATTTTTTAAATGACACAACTTTTAACGAAATAGTGATAATAAAAAGACACAACTCTTGATAAAACAGATACAACGAAAAGACGCAACTCTAGACAAAACGCTTTTAATGAAAAGATGCAATTCTTGCAAATAACCATAAAATGGTTTTTTCAAGAAGATGCAACCCTTCAAAATAACCATAATGCGATTTTTAAAAAAAATCAGCAAACTAAAACATATATATGGGCTAATCGATTTTCCTGAAAAGACACAACTCTTAGCTATAACCATAAAATGGTTACTTCAAAAATAACTAATTAACGATTATTTTCGAAAAGACACAACTTTTGACAAAATAGTTATAATAAAAAGACACAACTTTTGACAAAACGGTACAACGAAAAGACGGAACTCTTGACAAAACGGTTACAATGAGACGACTCTTGACAAAAACGGTTTTAACGAAATTATGCAACTCTTGCAAATAACCATAAAACGATTTTTCCGAGAAGATGTAACTCTTCAAAATAACCATAATGCGATTTTTTGAAAAAAAACAGAAAAACTAAAACATATAAACGATTTTTTTGAAAAGACACAACTTTTAGCGATAACCATAAAGCGGTTACTTCGAAAAATAACTAGTTAACGGTTATTTTCGAAAAGACGCAACTTTTAGCGATAACTATAAAGCGGTTACTTCGAAAAATAACTACTTAACGGTTATTTTCGAAAAGACG